CATTCAAATAAACGATTATGTGTGTGAGATATTAAATTAAACCTTTATTAAATAGACATTAAGGAAGCTACTTAAGTAAATTCTGACAACTGCGTACATTTATTGGAAATTATTTAGAAATTTCATATTTTCAGGACTAGAAGGTCCATTACTTATTGTGATATATTATGATAATTAATTTGAGTAAATATGTATAAATAATTCAATCAAGTGATATTCTTTTTGAATTAATATTTTGGAATATTTTTCGAAACTTTTTTGTTGAACCTCAATTTTAGACATAGTGTATAATCCATTCAGGAAGTTAAGAAATTTCACAAAACTATTGTATTTAGTATGTGATTTATTTTATGTTTACAAATATCTATAAAACATATATGTGTGTATTGATTAGTTCAACAAAGAGACAATGTTAAAAAGGGTTACATAAAGACATACTTCGAAAATGAAAAGAGGGCTACATAAAGCACGCACTGAGAAGATGCGAAGAAACTGATATATTCCCATCACACTGAGACAATGTAAAGAGGGTTACATAAAGAACATGCCGAGACAATGTAAAGAAGGCTACACAGAGCATACATTGAGTCTATGTAAAGACTAACAGAGTGACGTGAAGCTGAGCTGAAGGACATGCCGGGTGAGGAGGACTGGGTGCTGTTCAACATCCATTACGCCGGATACTACAAGGTCGTCTACGACCACAAGAACAGACTGCTGCTGGAGAAACAGCTCGCGGAGGATCCCAAGGTTAGTTCCGTCTGCCATTCTCTCTCTTCCTTGTTTATTACATCCACACATCCAGAACTTCTTCACGAAATATTTTTGCCAATAGTTTATAGCTCTTTTTATTTTTAGCACACAAAGTCCAAAATAGCACCTTTAATCTATTTTTTGTATGTAGTCGAACTCCAAGTACACGAATTACATATATAAACCTATGTGAAGGAGTTAGGTATTTGCATTAGTTCATCTGTATATTGCAATAGAATGCCCGACGTCCTTTAGGTTACTTGCAATCAATGGTGGAATTGAACTTGGGTGGAAGAGTAGAAAATACACAAAAGAAATATTCGATAGAGGGTCTTTCCACGCTCTGAAAATACTCAATTAATCAACATGTATTCCAATTCAAGCAAATATAGAGAGTCTAAAATAAGTTTATAATAAAAATTGACCATGCTTTTATTGAATTTTTAATATATTGTTAAATTTTCAAGTAAGGAAATAAGTCAGTTACTATGTGATTTTATATATACAAATTATATCCCCTTTTTAAAATTTAAAAACCTTTTAGTTTCAATGTTTGTGTCCACCAGAGCCTGCCGTCCATCAACAGGGCCGTGCTCCAGGACGGTAAACAGAGGTAAAGACAGCGTGACAGTGTGACACCGAGTCCAGTCCTGTGTTGTCAGGGAGGAGCAAGGACTCCAGTCCTACCTGGAGACAGCCCGCTCGCTGCCCCAGGACCCCGCGGTCCCGCGGTGGCAGGCCTTCCTCACCACAGCGGCCTACATCCACGGCATGCTCGGCTCCGAGCCCAGGACGGCCTGGCAGGTAGAACTGAGACATGCCGTTGTAGACTGTCAACGGGTTATCCGGATTTGTTGAAATTGTGTGTCTGAAACAATTCAGGGATGTTTTTCTCAATGAATTTCCTGATATATCTTCTGCAATGATAAACATATCATTAACTCAGCTATTCCGGCAGTTGTATCTACCAGATCGCCTTACTATTGTATTGAGTTGCTCTCTGAATAAATAGCCTGCCAATTGGAGGAATTCTTAATAAAGGTATTCAAATAAACTACGTAGACAAATAAGCTTTGGGGATGATTAGAAATAGCCTTTCTTCAAATAATTAACATATTGATAATGGCGTATAATATATTCTCAGGTTTATGAATAAGGTCAACAAGATATGGAAATATGGTAATTGCCCCTTTTTTAATTAGGAATATCATTTTGAAAGCTTTGTACTGTGTAAATTGACCTATTCCACCGCAATTAGTTCTTTTGAAAAAATTTTAAATGGTTGATTTTAAAGCCGTTTATATATATTAAAGCCACCTATATAACCTGAAGATTGGAATGTCTCATCAACCCCTCCACAATCTCACTACATTTAATATATATTTTAGGATTGCTTCCATCCACACTGTTGCTCATGGCCGCTATATGGCGTAATCGATTATCATACCAACGATTCATATGTTGGTGCTGTCTCAGAAGCTATATTCGCGAATTTGGTTTTTCTAGTGGCCTTGTGAAATGGAATCATGACATATCCTTGAGGAAGATCTTCGGACAGGGGTAGAATGCAGTACTAGGGGAAATTTGTCAGAAATATAATTGCGAAAATTATTGCGGCTAAACATCAATTTTAGTGTTTTCAATAAAGAGATCATTATTGCCCTGGTAAAATTGCCATCTATATATATGTATCGAAAGAGGAAATCCTCTCTTTAAATATATATAACAAGGTATATGTATATTTAATATATTTTTGCACCCAGAAGTTGAACCAAACTTGCTGCTCCGGGTGTTACAGAAGTACCTGGGGGAATATGTCAAGCCTCTCTACAAGAAGGTCCAAGCCGGGTCCCCGCTGAACATGGAGGGCAACGAGGGGTTAGGCGATTCTTTAGTTTATCCGAATACTATCCAAATGATATTGTTTATAGCCCATGGTAGAGAATATTTTCTTTCCTGACCTCTGAACATTAATTGCTATTACCTAGAGCAAGCAATGATGTGGGATGTTGAAGGAAGCGTATCTTATATTGACAAAAGATATCTAAAGCCAGAAGAAGGGCATGCTTGGAAGCTTGCATCAATAAAAGTTAGACTGATTTATTGATTATTGACATTAAATATTGAGGAACATCAGATGGTAGATATTTGTCTTTATTATGAAATAAATCAATTATTTTGCAGTCATTGGTACCAACATTTGGGACAAAGTGCGATAGCGCAATCACATCCAATCAGAGATCGTGTACCTGATGGCAGAGGTCTGAACAATAACTGTTGCGCAGGGATTTGGCCGAAGACATCGTCTTCCTGGCCTGCCGCCTGGAGCTGGGCGACTGCTCGACGCTGGCCCGGAGCTACTACGGTGGCTTCGAGAGATCTAGGGCCATCGACGAGTGAGTGGCTTGGGTTGGGAATATCAAGCTCTCTTGTGTGGAAACAGCGAGTACCAAAGAATCTGGCATTATATCGCTGTTAACATCAATTATATGCTCTTCAGTGTGCAGAAAACCAAATACATCAATGTGGTAACTAGGCTCATGTGTGCCAGAGGGGGTGCATTATAGTTGACTATTTAAGTGTGTATTATATATCAAATACATCCAAGTAAGCTACTCGAGTGTGTTCAGGATACCTCAACCTTTCCAGTTCGCAGCCTTCTGTACAGGTATCGGCAAGTCAGGAGAAGAGGAACAAAATATTGTCGCTGAGACCCCCATGGGCAGACTCGCCGTGGAATCTGGCTGCCACAGGTAAAAGTTGGTCGGTCGCAGCTAAAAGCATCTCTACTCGAAACATGAATCTTTCTTTGAGACAAATATAAGCTAACTTTGAAACATTATCTTACTATCACTACTGGAATAAAGGTAGTATAGAAGACATTTCACGAAACCTTCCAGCCTTTTCGCCAGCCATCCGTAGATTAAACTGGCGAAGCTTTTAATCCAATTTCAACTGGAACACAATTGAAAATATCGCAAAGTGATTTTTAAAATTTTGATTGTGATTATGTTAATTGTTTGTTTTGTCCATTGTTTTTTTAGTTTCATAAGTTATTTAAATTTTAAATGTGTAAATTTTATAAGAACCGATAACCAGTAAGGGATTTCATATCTAAAATTTACAAAGCTAATTAATATATATATATGCCAACTATATACTTAAGAGCAACAACAAGTGATTTTATTAAGACAATTCGTTCTTCATAGATTCGTCCCCGTGTCCATTTAGATAAGAAATTGAAAAAAAAAAAAAAACACAATGTATCAAAAAGAAAAATGGTCATTAGATATACAATATTTTTAAGAGGGACATAACAATATTTAATTTATATATATTTCATTTTTAAATGGTATTCTAATTTTTTTTCTAACAAACTGTGGAACTGGTCTCATAAGTAGATAAAACTATCATCGGTCAATAACCAAGAGATGCCTTTAAATGATTTACTTGTTTCGGGGATAGTCACATGTGAACTGTCTAATTTATGTCATGCACTTTTTGGTGTCGGGAACATTGAAGAGTATAATGGGATGTTCTATTTATTTTTTTTCAAAAACAAAAAAAGGCATATCCTGACCACTCACCTGAGCATTTTATATGGTAGAGCGCCATCTATAATGAACAAAAATAAAATAAACGTTTATAATATTGTTCTGTGATATTTGACTAGCCTAATTTCTTGATGAATTAAAAAAAAAAAACTTTGTACGTTAAATAAATGTTTAGTTTATTTCTGTATAATATAGATGGCGCTCTACCATTAAAATGCACAGGTGAGCGGTCAGAATACGTCTTTTTAGTTTTTAATATCAACATCTGACCTTTTTAATATTTTGATATTACTTTTACAAAATATATATATTAAAAAAGGCATATATTGGATCAAAATATCATTTATTTTATCAATATTTCAGTTGGCTGAACGCCAATCTTTATCAAGGTATTATAACATATTAATGTGTGTCAACAACAAACTCACCGCCACATCGCTTTGACGCACATTAATATGTTATAATACCTTGATAAAGGTTGGCGTTCAGCCAACTGAAACATTGGTAAAATAAATTATATTTTGATCCAATATATGCCTTTTTAAAACGAAAATTGCAATTATACCGCGAATGTTTCTTTTATACAAAAATCTAAATTTATTTCAAAGAGAAATAGCAACCATTTCTAACTTTTTTGAATGAAGTATGAGTGGGTGAAAATATGAAGAGCAATGGCGAACGGAAAAATAAAAGTGTCCAGGGGCGGGAATCGAACCCACAGCCTTCTGCTTACCGGGCAGGTGCCATGTCCACTAGGCTATCCTGGACATATTACGACCCGTACGAACGGAGAAATATGTCCAGGGTAGCCTAGTGGACATGGCACCTGCCCGGTAAGCAGAAGGTTGTGGGTTCGATTCCCGCCCCTGGACACTTTTATTTTTCCGTTCGCCATTGCTCTTCATATTTTCACCCACTCATACTTCATTCAAAAAAGTTAGAAATGGTTGCTATTTCTCTTTGAAATAAATTTAGATTTTTGTATAAAAGAAACATTCGCGGTATAATTGCAATTTTCGTTTTACAATCATCAGCCGCGTTATATTGTATTTTAAAATTACTTTATATGCCTTTTTAATTAAAGATTTATTTATGAATTGTTCTATTTTCAAAAATATATATTTATTTATGTTAAATTTCAATCCGCACACATAACTCACATTTTAAGATAATCTTTATTTTAATATTCAGTGCAGCTTTCATATATCAACTACTTACATAAAATGAAATTTATTTTTCAGAAACTTGTCATCAACATCTGATCTTCTTCAAATGAAGAATTACCTCAAGGTTATGAATAGGGTAAGTTTAGGAGTTTAGATTGTTCAAATAGTGGTTCGTATTTCTAAAAGTTCTTTTTGAAAAAACATGAAATGAAGTGATATGTTACATCATTATTAACTTAGATCAAACATAAAATCTTTATTGTTGATTTTCAAATAAAAAAATAAATACACTGATGTGCACAAGATATTGAATACATTTATTTTATTTATCCCAAGAATACATGGTACAAGCCATTGAATCATGGTGAATATTTAACGGCTATCTTTTACTTAAAGTGCTCCACATATTTACCCATATATGAAGAAGTTCGAATTTTGCACGTATCAGTTGTCTGGGCCCTGTATGTTGACTTGTATTCCCTGTGGAGTCTGACTTTTTCAATATTCGAGAGCCATTGAAGCAAGTTTTCATTCTCAGAAAAAAGCACCCATCCATGGTTCTTCAACCAACCCCCAAGGAAATAATTTATCTATATATATATAAATGAATGTATGTGTGTGTGTGTCCTTTATGCCTGACCAAACCACTCATTGGAACGCCATGAAACTTTGGGAAGTTATTTAGTACTAGACGAATGGCCCGGGCAACGCCCGGGTTTTACCCGAGTGCGAATATATTTTAAAAACGTTTTAATCTTCATCTAGATCTTCATCTTGTCTACACCTTGTATACATCTTGCTTCCTAGGGTTGCCTAAAGTGGCCGCTATAGACAGGGTGGTCTGTATAGACAGGTGGATGTATCACACAGCTGATAATAGGGTTGCCTAGTGTGGCCGCTATAGACAGGGCGGTCTGTATAGACAGGTGGATGTATCACACAGCTGTAGAGTGGTCGCTATAGACAGGGTGGTCTGTAATAGACAGGTGTATGTATCACACTGCTGATAACAGGGTTGCCTAAAGTGTCCGCTATAGACAGGGTGGTCTGTATGGACAGGTGGATGTATCACACAGCTGATAACAGGGTTATCTAGGGTGGTCGCTATAGACAGGGTGGTCTGTTTAGACAGGTGAATGTAACACACTGATGATAACAGGGTTGCCTAAAGTGTCCGCTATAGACAGGGTGGTCTGTATAGACAGGTGGATGTATCACACAGCTGATAACAGGGTCGTCTAGAGTGGCCGCTATAGACAGGGTGGTCTGTATAGACAGGTGGATGTATCACACAGCTGATAACAGGGTTGTCTAGAGTGGTCGCTATAGACAGGGTGGTCTGTATAGACAGGTGGATGTATCACACAGCTGATAATAGGGTTGCCTAGTGTGGCCGCTATAGACAGGGCGGTCTGTATAGACAGGTGGATGTATCACACAGCTGTAGAGTGGTCGCTATAGACAGGGTGGTCTGTATAGACAGGTGTATGTATCACACTGCTGATAACAGGGTTGCCTAGAGTGACCGCTATAGACAGGGTGGTCTGTATAGACAGGTGTATGTATCACACTGCTGATAACAGGGTTGTCTAGAATGGCCGCTATAGACAGGTGTATGTATCACACAGCTGATAACAGGGTTGTCTAGAGGGAGGGGCGGGCAGCTGGCAGCCAATGGGCGCGCATTCTATCCGTGAGCTTCAGACACACAGACAAACAAACAGACAGAATAAGGCAAATATATAAGTAGATAGTACTGGGAAGGTTTCTAGCAAATAAAATTTTTGAAATAACTTTTCGCCTAAAAATAATCAAGATAAATATTCTAATTTATCTGTTATAATTCAACAATCTGCTCTAAATATTATCATGATGATACGATGATTTTGTAATGCAGAAAATTAGGAAAGACAAAATTCAGGATGACACGGCAATTTATTTGAGACAAGAATAATGATACAATTCCAAGGCAAGATACTATTACTTTAACTTCCAATTACCGAGGGAACCAATTAATATTGATTTTATTCAACTTATCGGGTATTTTTCAAGGGACCGGGAAAAAATGTATACTTTATCGAGAGATTCGTAAGACAAACCTTTACTCGGATAAAACCCGGGCGAAGCCGGGTACATCCGCTAGTTTGAAATAAAAATTAAAAGATCAAAATTTGTTCAAATGTGTGTGTTATATGAATTCTTCTATAATCTTTATATTACTACATGATATTGTATAAGCATGCAGGTACAAATGACTTTTTATCTTTTCTTGTATCTACATATTACTAAGACAATATGCAATTTATGAAAATTTCCTTTAAATATATGTTTATAATTTTCTGAAATATAATCATTATATTCTATATTCCTTAACTTATGTATAGTGTGTTTACATGTGTATTAATACTACTTTGTTACCCACATTTTTCCACACGCATGAATCATTTATATAAATTTCTCAAAGAGAATTTATTACTTGAAGTTAAAAGTAGTAGGAACTTGTATAGAGTTCTCTAAAAATACTAATAGAGATTTATTATTTAAAGAAGCGAATTTTCGAGGCCAAATATTTCCTTCCCTGCAAGTGGTGTTTCTGTTAAAACCTCAATCTTTAACCTGTCCTTCACGTCCCTTCACAATAGCCAGGTGTTTTTCAATACAAAACACGGATAGACAAATGGAATTTGGGTTTTTTAATGAATTACGCACTTATTTTAATTGATTATATATAATTAAAAGATTGAAGAATATATATATAAGGTATAAGTTTATTTACTAATAATACATACATATCAAATCATATATTACATATCATACAATCCTGTTACACCCCCCCCCCCCCCATCACTAGACAACGTGGAAACTTAACATGACGATTGTTGTCACATTTAATTTCATCTAGGATTATTTTATTTCTTAATAAAGTAGAAATATGCTAGTTTTTTTTATTTTTTTTTTTAAAGCGTTCTCTTTTTCGAGTTTACACTCACACGCCAATCACTGTTTCTTGCACTTTTTTAGGACAATACATGAGATATTTTAAAAATCGTAATTTATGTTCCCACTAAGTATTCCTATATAGAGTACGTAGAGCCTATTCCTATGTAGAGCTGCGGTATCAAACTTAGGAATGTAACCAAGCTCGGGGGATATTTGATGTGGTAACTAGCTGACGCCCTGCAGAGGTTCCACTACCCCCCGCCCCCAGACTTCCCCAAGCCTCGCTGGGGGAAGAAAGCGGTCGCGGACGCAGTCTCCGCCTTCTTGAGCAGCGCCCCGCCTTTAAAGGATTTCCAATTTCCGTCTTTAAAAAACTACACCGACAATAATCCGGACAAGTACACCTTGATGAAAGAGATTCTCAAGTATGCCTCTTGACGTGTCTTCTTCTTCTGTGTAAATATAATTTATGATGGGTATAAATAAAGATATATAATTCCCATAATCTGGTGTATGCTTGTCAGAGAATTTCACAATAAATGGTCATTTTCTTACAAATATTGAATCGCATTGTGACGAAAACTCATCCTGCAGTAAAAGAGACTACGAAAAGGCGAGCGGCATAGCTTCATTTCTCTCTCTTTTTCGAATTAATTTAACAATATCTGGTAGAGAGATATTTACAGGATCAATATTTGACAAACATAAATTACAAATAGCTCTGAGCCTAATTCAAGAATGAAAGCTGGTCTATTGAGATAAAAGGAAGGGCAGTCAAGGGTTTGTCTTGGTCAATCTTGGAAACTAGTTTTGAAGCCTTATAATATGAAGACTCAAGGGATTGATCAGGGTGGCACCACAGCTACAAGATATGTCCGCTAGTTTTAGGGGTCACACGTTACGCAGGCTGTTATGCACCCTGATATATTCCTTTAGCCTTCATAATGTAAGGCTTCAAAACTAATTTCCAGGTCTGGAAGTCGTAGTGCCAGACTGATCAATTCCTTGAGCCTTTGTAATGTAAAGCCTCAAAGCTAGTTACCAGATCTGGAAGTCATGGCGCCGCATTGATAAATTCTGTGAGCCTTCTCAATGTAAGGCTTCAAGACTAGTTTCCAAATCTGGAAGTCGTGGGGCCGCATGCATCTCTTCCTTGGGCCTTCGCAACCTCTGCGGCCTCAAAAATATTTACCAGATCTGGAAGTCATGGTGCTGCATGCATCAATTTCTTGAACCCTTACCACGTGCGGCCCCCAAGTCTAACAGCCAAATCTTTGGAAGGTACGACATTTCAATCCCTTCAGGCCTTTGTAACGTGCGGTCTCTAAAATAGTAGGCAGCATTTGCACCTTTGGCATTGCTCCGATCGTTTCCTTGACGATTCTCAAAGTGCAGCTTAATAGAAATGATAAATATTGATATAAAATTTTAAAAATTCATCCCTGCTTGGAATTCAATCATTCTCCTATTTCTATACAGTGTGTGAAATGTGGTAGATGTTGTGGCTTTGTTACCGACCCGATTACGAGTCTGTTAATGCAGTTACTGACATGGATCTGACGCGCTTCTGCCAAGGATTCCATCGAAGACTTGGAACTTTGTCCCTAGTACCTTTGCGTTATTTTTCTTGTGGCATAAATAGAGGCTTTGTCGTCGTATCGT